TCTTTCACCAAGTTCAAGAGAAACTCTACCCGGAAACCTAAAGTCATGGCTTCACATATCGCGTCCCGCTAGCAAAGGAGTCGATGGTCTGTGATGTCCAGCAACTGCGTAGTATCCATTCCATGAAGCACCAAGCCAAGAGTCCGGAAAGCAGCGCACTGTGAAAAGGAAGAAGTGATGCTAGTCATGTTCGTGAAATCCCCATACTTGTCTAGAAATTTCTCCAAGGCTACAACTGTCTCGGGATAAACGAGAGCTCCTCGGAATGTTGCGTAACTATTGAACCAGTGACAAAGTGGCAAGATTTCATCTGCGGATCGAAGGACCTGAACACCACCATCAAAGAAGGCCATAAATGCAGCAAAGGATTCCTCCCACTCCAACCAAGATGTGTCAGATGGGTGTTCTGTAGTAGTATTCCCCGTAACAATGATAGCCTGGACTTTCTCAGCAACACTTGTGTTACCAAATGAGGACGCTGGAAGGAGTGCTAGGGGACTGGGTTCTGGCGCCCAAAGAAGCGGTTGAATGTGGGATGGAACAGGCAGTGTCCCGTGAAAGGCAAAGGTGTTGCTCCGGAGAGGTGCCGGAAGAACTGGAGAAATGGCAGGCTCAAGGTCCCCCCTAAGAAGGTGCTGGAAGATGGGAGGCAACTGGTTTGTTATTCGGAACATGGATGTTGTGTCCTGGGAATTTGTTGATAGCATGGTCGGAAATGACTCCGCAAGGGCTGCCTCAACCAATGTGTCAAGGGTGTCAAAGGAGGGAGCCACCACAGGCACGATTTCCACATTTTAGGCAACAGGCCCAATCTGAAAAATAATAATAATAATAACATGTATATATATGTATACAAGGATTAGTACGAAATAAACAACAAGGTGTGTGCACTAGCAAAGGAGTAAGAGGAGGACGGTGCCCAATAAGGAAAAAAAGGAGAATGACGAAAAGAGAATATTAGTAAAGCATGTACCTGAGGGGTACTTTGTGCAGGGTCAACAATGGTAACCTGCGAGATGGGCACGGGTGGTCAGTAGATATTTGGTGGTGCGAAGGAGGTCGACGCCAACAAGGCGCACACTGCTACCCACAGATCCAGAAAAGGTATTCGAGTTACCTTTTTCTTCTGTATAATCATCGAAAAGTACATCCTTATCATGGTCATAATTGTCATCCCTATTGGAACCCTCACGCATGTCACCAATGTTATCAATATCCTCTTGCCCCGGAGTGCTTGCCTCGGACTTAGTAGCGTCACCATCATCATTGTCATCATCAATTGTCACCACAGTTCTAGTTCTAGAGGCTTCGCTACCACTTGTACGAGCCCCAGTGAATCTTGCTTGCAAGACACGCATGCTGCGACATTTTGGAGTGGCCTATGGGGACACGGAGGGTGTGCTACTTCTTTCCTCTTTGGAGTGGTACCCATTTTTCCTATAAAAAAAAACATATATAACAGGTAACAATGCATGAATGCTCTTCATCTAAATCCCGTTAATTCATATAACTGGACAAGCAGACCTGCACGTCTCATACCATGCTTTTACCACTTGGTCCCGAATGCCCATTTATATGAACTAGCACCCATTTCAATCATCCCATAATTCCCCTTTTGTTAGTCATCTTGTCTAACTCCCTTTCGCCAGTCCCGAATCACCCAATATGTGCCCTGTGGGATCCCTGAGACCTGGTACCTGCCAAGAGTTAGACTCAACTACACAAAAGACCATTCCCATTACCCTCCTTTTCCACCATTATTTTCTCAACCCAAGAACTCCAAATAAATTCCATGATATTATATAGTTCACATATCTCATAAAAACAATGTAATCATTTAAATATCACCAATGTACATATAATCATGCCCACATTGTTCAAACAGTTAAGAGTACGTAAATCAAACAGTACCATGTATAATATAATGCTCACGAAATTTAATTAAATCAATCTCTGAAAAAGGCCCCCCAAGAAACCCCTACCTTGATACCAAAGCTTTTGCTAGAAATGTAATGTGTTTTCCCAAATTTCTACCACCTTCACAAACTTAGTCTTCCTCTCTATCTTCTTTTCTTTCTCACTTTCTCCTTTTTCGATTTCTTTTTCTCTTCTCATGCACAACTATGCATGACGATTAGTAGTGAAGGGTCCTATTTATACTAAACAGAGGCGGCAACTATCCTATACTTTCATTGGCTGCATGTTGATTTGCTTCAGCTGTGGATAACTATTTCTAAAATCATAACAGCTCATGGTTAAGTTGCTTAGTCACAAAGACAGATGTGAGCCTTAGTGTGCAGCAAGCAAGTGTAAATGAGCTCCACGTTTGCTTAGCTAATATGCAATGCAATGTAAACTTTCCAACTATAACAATTAAATTTAAGAGGTGTTGCATGCAAAAGGCTACGTTTTCTATTGCCCAACTCTAACAAGATCATGACTAATAGTGAAAATTTGCACAAATGCTAACTATGTGAAGTGTAAAATAACTCTTATGCATGAATTATTTTATTTATTTATTTATTTATTTTTATATTTAGATAGAAGAAAGAGTTCAAAATAACTATATAGGATAAGTAAATTACGTTAAGCAAATAAACGAGATGCTATTTAAAAGCAATTGTTTAAGAACATCATTTGAATTTGCATTAAGTGAAGCAAATAAAACATAGACTTCCATAAATAATTATAATTATAATTTAATACTTACTAAAAAATAAAATATTAACACTTTTAAGAATATGGATTCTCACAATCTATCCCCCTTAAAGAAATTTCGTCCTTGAAATTTAAAACTTACTGGAATCAGAGAACAATTCTGGGTACTTCTTACGTATTTCAGTTTCTAATTCCCATGTAGCTTCTTCTGTATTCCCATGTAACCAAAGAACTTTAACCAATGATATTATTTTCGTACGTAACACTTGTTCCTTATGATCCAAATTTGGTATTGGTCTTTCCTCAAATGACAGTTCTTCATCTAAATTGAGCTCTCCCCAATCTAGAACATGGGTTGGATCAGGTTCATACTTTCGAAGCATAGAAACATGAAAAACTTTATGTATATTTGAAAGTTGAGGAGGTAATGCTAGCTTATAAGCTACTTCACCAATTCTTTCTAAGATTTCAAAGGGTCCAATAAACCTTGGTGCTAATTTTCCAGTCTTTCCAAACCTTTTTACTCCTCTTTGCGGTGAGACTTTAAGAAATACATAATCCCCCACATTAAAACTCAATGGTTTCCTTCTTCGGTCAGCGTAGTTCTTTTGTCGGCTTTGAGCAGTTAAGAGATGTTGCTTGATAAGTTTAACTTTTTCAGTTGTCTCCTGTACCAAATCAGGTCCTAGTAACACAGTTTCTCCTACTTCAGTCCAACATACAGGTGA